GTGCGAGATGTTTTGGAGAAAATGGAATTTTATGAAAGCATCAACGTGTTCCAGCTTCTTCCAAAGAACGCCTTGCCTCTTTTCTGCAAATAATCAGAAGATAATACAGTGATTTGGGGTGCATGGCTAGATGGGCACTGCTGTGGGAAGCGCAGTAGGCTGAGCTTCGTGGGAGGCGCAGGACTGGCCAGGGGGCCCTGGCAAGAGCTGCGCTGCAGCCCCTGGATGGATGCATGGGCTCGGAGCAGCCAGGAGCGGGGCTGGGAAGAAGCCTCCCCGGGCCATCCAGCCACGAGGTCTGCACTGACTTTGCCATTGGGACAGTCAGCAGCTGACTGTCTGTGAAAGCTGATTCCAACTCTGTCCAAGTGTTAACCAACTTGGTGTTAAAATCACACATGTGATAGACATTTAATAACAAAGTTCCACAGTGTTGCTCTTCTCCCTGTGATAAATCAATCTGTTCGATTTCTGTAAAACCAGTTTATTCCCTATTTTCAGTCTCTAGGGTTACTTTCAATCTCCCTTCCTTTTCTAAAATTTTATAGCTCTCTTAGCTACCTTTGGCCAACTGGAAGTCTTTTCCCTATGGATACCAACAAGCTGATAAAACACATGGACAGCAAGGACGCTTCTCTTTTTAAAAATAAAATTGACTGCAGCATCCTGCTGCAGTGAGATTGTTGCCATGGCCTGAAACTCCTCCTCGTCTGGTTGTGATAAACACCCCTCGAGTTACGGCATACTTGCCAGGCACTCGCAGCTGGTTACTAATTTACTTTCTGAGTGTCTCCTGTGTTTCTCTTTAAGGATTTTAAAGCACTTGACTGCAGCCATTTATCAATAGCAAAAGATGCTGAGATCAATAATACCCCAATTTTAAAACACAGAAGCTTTTAGTTTTAAAAATGTACTAGGTTTACACTGCAATTTAATGTTTACTGCTTATACTGCAAGTGTTTTCATCTCTTCCGTTTTACTTTTCTTGAAAGCCAAATATTACTGAAATTGAGTTCTTTTTCCTTTCCTTTCTCCCCAGTCCACGTCATTCCGCTGTGAGAACAAAGTGATTTGGCTTTGTACAAATACCCCACGTTGGTCTGGAGATGCAGCTAGGTGGTAAAATGCTCCCCTAGTGTAGGTGACACGGGTTCAATCCCCTGCAGTGCATAAAAGCTAAAAAGAGGAAAGAAGGAAAAATACCATGAATATGTTTCGTTTGTTGGTTTGCTGTTGCTGTTGTATTTGTGGCACTGGGGGTTGGATCCAGAGCCCTCCCAGGCCCATCATTTTTTCATGTTTTATTCTGAGACGGGGTCTCATGAAGTCAATAAATCATCCTGATGAGGCTCGAACTTTCGACCCTCCTGCCTCAGCCCCCCAGAGTGCTGATTACAGGCCTGCACCACCGCACCTGGCTTAAACACGATTTTTACAAAGTGAGATTTTCTGACCTGGTTCCATGTCTGGGGGGAGATGCAGCCAGCCTTCTGGGGTACTGAATGCATCGGGCACCACATTTTCCTTCTGCCCACTCAGTGTTGCATCCAGCAAAATACCTGAAACCTTCTTCCCTAAAGCCTCACCTCCTCCGTAAGGCAGGCTCCAAGACAAGCTTCATTCCACCACCAGGAGTTAAGTTGCCCTGAGTTCCAGTTTGTATCAGTTGTATCCAATGCTTCTTATATAATGGTACATTTGTTAAAAACCCCAGCAACTAGAGGTATCAACAAAATAGAAATTTATTTTTCTCTTACATGAAGGAAGCCAGGAGGGAGGCAACTTGGGGATATAGGCTCCTGTCATTCTGACCTAAAGCCCACAAGATCACCTCAAGACCCACAAAACTGCTGAGCCCCTGCCATCACAACCAAGGAGGAAAAAAACAGGTTCCTATTGGTTAGACTGATTGTAGTTAGTGGTTTAGGTTCTTGCTGTTTAGGAGTGTTCTCAAAGTTTCCACCCAACAGTTCCATTTACCTCTTACTGGCTCAAAAGCCACCGAACTATGATACCCTAAGAATTCACCTTTAATCCAAAAGGAAATATTCTCACAAATTCAGGGTTCCATTCACAAGCAAAGGAGAGAAAATATCTGAAAGCAAATGACACTTACAGCCCTGCTGCAAAGTTCATTACTAATTTTTTAGCAGCAGAATATTGAAATATCTAAATGCCCTGGAGAGTACATGGTTAAAAACCTGCAGAATACTATATTTTATGCACTGTGCTGATATTTAAAATATCAACATAGATTACTCTTTGTTGCCATGGTAAGTTAGCCATGACACAATTTTAACTGAAAAAGAAGAAAGGAAAAAAAAAAAAAAAACACAGCATCTATACTAGGATCCCATATGTAAAGTCATATGTCTCCAAAGACATTTGTTAAATGTTAGCAGTATTTAGGTAACTGCCACAGTTGGCAGTTTTTGTGTAACACTACTTTCCTGTGTGTCTTCCAATTTTTACAATCAGCATACACTATTCAAATGGTTACTTTGGACCGGGTGTGATGGCGCACACCTGTAATCCCAGCACTCGGGAGGCTGAGGCAGGAGGAACGTTGCAAGTTCAAGACCAACCTGGGCTACAAGGTGAGCTCAAGGGCAGCCTGAACTGCAGAGTGAATGAGTCTCAAAAAGAGAGAAAGAAAGAAAGAAAGAAAGAAAAAGAAAGAAAGAAAGAAAGAAAGAAAAGAAAGGAAAAAAAGAAAGAAAGAAAAAGAAAAATCAAATGGTTACTTTGGAAATACAAAGGTGCTGAATGCGATCTTTGAGAACTCAGGAAGCCACCTGGAAACTTGTTTGAAATCAGTCATAAGCCGCCAGCGTCTCCACTGCCCTGAGAAGCAGCTTCATAGTTTTAGTAACATAAGGTACACTTTGTTAACTTTCTGCAACAAGGAACACAGGGATAGCAATAACTTTTTGTAAAATCTTTATTTCCATTTTGGTCTTAGGCTGACGGGAACGATTCTGCAAGTGAGAAGCAGTGTCATTCTGAGCTCACCTCAGAATCAAGGGGTTGTGCAGGGCACAGGCTATGCAGGGCACCAGGATCCTTCTGCACAGCCTGCCACACCTGCAGGTCCCTGGGTGGGGATGGAGGTAGGAGGGGGAGGATGAGGGGGCGTGGTGGGGACCACCAGAGGGGTTTCAGAAGGGAGGTACCAGTCCAGGCATCATGGAGGGGAAAAAGCAGCTGTGATTTCTAACATCCCTTCTTCGGGCTGTGTGGGTGAATCTCCATGGGTCCTGTGCACTATTTTGTAGGAAAGGATTTTAGACTAGATGATGATTGTTACAGATTAAAACCTGGTGGTCAACTTAACGCTAGCTGGGTTACATCAGCATGGTGTTGAGTGTAGATATCCCCCTGAGGGAAGTTGCCAGCATAAATAGAGACGTGGAAAAGGAGAAAAGAGGTGTTAAGGCGTTGAGGCATTGTGGCTTCTCCTACAAGTTGCTGTTTGAGCCGTTGGTTCTCCTGGAGAAGCTCTGGTCCTTGCATCAAGCATTGCTTCCTGGCTCCAGAGGGGAAGACTTTGTACTGCTTGGTCTCCAGGATGAACTCATCACGCTGGCTTCCTGGCACGTACCCCACTGTGCTTACCGTTGGAGGAGCTCGGGGCCTCCATGTCGCTGAGGATGGCTGTGGTGCTTTTCAGGACAACCCTCATCTTTGTTGTGAGCATGACTTTTCGGCTTCCGTGTAGAACCCTCATCCCACCAGCACAGCTCCTTCACCCTGCTGGCATGGACTTTCTAGCTTCCACCGCTGACCTTTGGGCTTCCCAGCGCAGATCTGTAAAGCAGACTGGCATGAGGCCTTTTCGTGGGGTCTAAACCTCCAGTTGGACTCATGGGAGGCATTGTCATGAGCTGTAGGTTTTCATCTGGACTCATGCAGGACACTGCTATGGAATCCAGGCCCTTAGCTGAATATTCTGGGACATCAGTGTTGTGGACAGATTTCCCGTACTTTCTTGTGTTAACTCTGGGTGACCATCATAAATAATATTATAAACTCTGTGTCCTGATTTTAATTGTTCTCCTCACAACCCCAGACTACAGCAATGACTTTCTTAGCTCTGCAGTTTGAGGCAGTTTGCTAATTCCAGGTGACTTAGAACACAGTGCTTTAAGCATGCACAGAAAGAGAAATCTCCAAAGACCAAAAACCAACATCTTTCTCCCTCCATGAAAGCCAGAGCATCACTGGCTGGAAAAGGGGTCACTGTGATTGTAGGCACATGTGCGCCACTGTGTCATCCCTTTAAATGACATCTGTCTTTGCAGGTGAGGGGACGGGAGGCACTGGGATCTCATTAGTCATAGTGGGTTTCCTCAGACCTCAGCCAAACTCAACACTGAAGGACCCTCGTCTTCACTTTGGCCAGGTCACCTGCTTAGCACCTGGAAAAGCTCAGATTACCTCGATAACCAAGCAAAGCCCTTCTCAGTGCTGAACAGGGAGATGGTGTGTGCAGGCTTATGATACTTTGGCTGGGCTGCATTTTCTTTCACTGCATAGATGAGTTTCTTGCTTTTCTTTTAGACACTGAGTATTTGGGGGTGCGTGTCCCACTGAGGTTGTGTAAGACACTCCATGGACATATGTTTGCGTCCCCACATTTGTGGGTCCCTTGTGCCATTGGCCAGCTCTATCTACTTGAGAGGAGCTTTTGAATCTATGCTCATGAGGCCCTTTATAGTGGCTTTTCAAGCATGCACTCCTTCTCCCGGGTACACAGATCCATCCTGAGCACCTTCAGGATTATCAGACACTACAGCCATCGATAGTGGCTGTGGCCACCACACTGGAAATCCTCCAAGTGACTTTTCGGTGTCTCTGCATTTTCACCTCGAGATCACTCCAGACTTTACACATGATCCCGGCGTGTGGACACAGGACCTACCTGAACCTCTTTTCCAGAAAAACCAGCTTCGTTTTTGTTGTAAACAACAGCTAACCTGTGCTTTCTCCCTTGCTCGTAGCTACGTAAGTACTGTGTCTTACATGGACGAACCCAGCCAGCGCGATGAGAGCTCTCGCCTCACGGTCCGAGTGGAGAACACCTACCAGCTGGGTGTGTTCCTTTGTTGCTTGCCCCCATTTGCAATTTCTCATGTGGTGAGTGATGTCTGTTACCTGGGAGCTGACAGCCTGCCTGGGTCTCGTCTCTAGCAGAAAGGAGCTTCATTAATTGAGACTCCAGGCTCTGCTTCATCTTTCTCTGCTAACTGGGAACAGTACCCATTGCCCACTTGCCCGCATCAGTGTCGCCTAAATACCAAGCAAATAAACGGCCGAGAGGCACAGAGGGGTTGACCGGCTGGTGAAGGAGCCCGGGGTGTGTTCCCGGCCAGAGTCGTTAGATATAAATATAGGTGCGCATCAGGTGAAAGAGACCTTCAGTGGTTTTATCCAACAAAACCACCTCGTGTTGTTGATCAGTGAAGGAAAATCCTCCAGGGTTTGCAGGTCCCTGTCCACAGAGATGTTTATCTGTCACCACTGCAAACAAAGACCCTGCACCTGTCCCTGCGGTCGGGGGGGGGGGGCCCTACGGCAAATACCTTTTGCCATTCCTATTTCTTCATGGATTACTTGTTTTCTCTCAATGCACCTGTCTGCTATTATCTGACTGTATCTGTAATTACACTGCTGTATAGAAATTCTGTAGAGATTTACCGGGGGGCCGCAGGAGCCTCTAATGACCAGGGTGTTTCCATCTGAGGCCAGTTCACCCGAAGGAAACCGTAAACCCTCAGCCCAGCCTGCCAGACCTCAGAGCCCGTTTTCTATAGCAACCCCCAAATGCATGGAAAATGAGGCTCCAAATGAGCCTGCTGGTATTTTCAGAGCCCTTGCGGCGCAGTACTAGCTCCAGCCTTGCAGAGAGTTTTCTGTTCTTCTTGTAGCCACGCCCCATATCCTTTAGGGCTTTTCCACCAAAATCCCTTTCCTAATGTTTGGGTCACAGAATTGTCCCAGAGGGGATCTGGGTTCATAGAGAGAGCAGGACTGATTCCGTGATGGTGAATCAAAACCCCGGAGAGGAAACTCAGGACAGATTGTGTGGCAGTTGGAGAAGCAGACATGACCGTGTGACCCAAGCATACAAAGGGACTGTGTCAGCTTCTATCATTTTGCCCAAGCATGGAGCCCGAAATGAAAACAACCAAATCCCAGCAGCATTGTTTCTGTCCCAGTGCGGCCGCCTTAGCCTGTTGGGTCAGGGAGTGAAGTTTGGGGCTGTTTTTCCCCAGCGCTGGCCGCTGAAAGATCTTCATCACTGGCGACTTGAGTCAGATTTCCGCCAGACGAAGGTAGATCCCAGTGTTTCTCCTCCATAAAGTGACCTTGTCACAGCTTCTTCAAATAAGCAAGCTAAATCGTATTGTCAGTTTTAGCACTGTGTGGTGGACCAATTAGAAAAGTAACCTTTTACAAATAGCATAGCACAGATAAAATATTTCTGTATTTTCTCCTAAAAATATGTGTGAACTATTTCTCTGTGATTGAAGCTAATTATGCCTAGCAACCCATTTTTGAGAGCACTTGGCTGGCCTTTTTATTAACACTCAAAATTCTATTTTCACTCCCACTTATGGCCGGCTTATGTGACATCAACCAGAAGAGTGGCGGGGAGGGTCCGTCACCAGAACTATCACGTTTAATTCGTTTTTCATTCCAGCCAGTAATGCCTGCATTATCTGAACACAGCTTAAGTGCATAGCATGTTTGTCCTCCCTTTCAATAATTACAGCTTCCAAAATCCAGGTGAAACATGAGTGTAATTCATGTGAGGAAGGTGGGGTGGGAAAAGCAAGATGTATTTCTTAGATTTCTTCTTTAGACTGAGATCGGGTGTATCTGAACTGAATTCTAGCTTTGGTAAAACCTAGGAAAATGAATTTTGAGCAAGGTGATAAATCGTTCCTCACCTGTAAATATTGATACCAGTCCCTGTGTCCAAGGAATGCTGTGACAGTCACATAGGAAATACATTTCCATTGCTTCTCATCCATCATGATGGCTCCTAAAGTAACAGGCGCCAGGATCTCTAAGAATAACCGTCTGCCTGAAATGCAGTGTAGCGTCCTATTAATTATGGGATGAGTTTGCTACAGGACTTTCGCTAGAGCTGTGATTCACACAGTAACTGATTCTTTTTTAAAAAACTTGATAGTATCAGATGAGATAAGAGCTTTGGAGAGCCGGGGATTTAGCTCAGCAGCTCAAGTGCTTGTCTGGTAAGTGCAAGCTTGTGAGTTCCATTCCCTGTACCACGAAGAAAAGAAGAAAACCAACCAAACAAGAGCTTTGGGTGGCCCTGAACAGCCTGCTGAGCAGGAAGCCTGCATAATGGGCTGTGGATCCCAACCAGAGAGAGAGACCCCTTGAGCTCAGCCTCCACTCAGGCTCTTGTGAGCCATCAGGTTTTGGGGTGGGAGCTGGGGTCCTCCCTGTCTCTTCTCCATCCTTCATGGTTCTCATTCTGTCCTCTCCCACCTCTTCCTGCAAAGCGCAAGAACCAGGAGAAGGTGGCTACACCAGTAAGGGTGAACAGGGCAGTTTCTCAGGGCCTGCGAGGCACTGTGGAAACGTTGTTGTTTCATCTCACTGAATCCTAACCAACAGAGACCAGGTTACAGTTCTTCTTCCCTCAATTTGGGGGAGTGTGGCGCAGATCTGGTAGGGCACTTACCTTTAGCTCTCCTCTCTCGAATCTATTTCTAATATTTTTCCCCTAGTCTTCAGGTCTTCGCCTTTTGATTTCTAGAACATTTTTTTTCTTCCTAAGGAAAAATCATTTCAAAAAATAATTCCATAGAAAAAGAAGAGCTGCTGCCCGATCAGTCAAGGCTGAGAGCAGCTGGGGTGCTTCTGCCTGCGGGGAGTGGAAAGCTGGAGTCACCTCTTCCTTCCGTTTCAGTCCCCGCTATCCAGTCTGAGCAAGGCCGGGGCTGATTCTGCAGGTCCAAGGGAGAGACCACAGCCAAGTGAGGAAAACATTTCTATTGCTTTATTTCAAAGCTTTTCTAAGATGTAATCAGGTTAATGAGATTTTTTTTCTTTCTTTCTTTTTTTTTTTTTTTGGTACCAGGATTTGAACTCAGGACCTTGTGCTCGCCAGGCAGGCACTTAGGCCACTGAGCTACATCCCTTGGCCCAGGGCTAAGGAGATTCTTGAAGAGCAGCTAAGCAAAAGGCTGGAATGACACTGGCACAAGAGTCCGTGGGTTCTCCTAGGAGGGGATCCCTGCGTGAAAGAGGCTCCCTCTGCATCGGTCCCCGTGGGCTCAGTCTCCCCAGGGCCTGGCTTCTTCCTGCCATGGAAAGCGGGTCCACACCATGCTGGGGGTCATAGGTCATAAGGTTGCTGCAGAAATTGACAGACTCACTTCTTTCCTGCCTCAGTTTAAAGTAAAAATTCCAAGAAAGGCCTCTCCGGGGCCAGCCTGGGGCAGTGTCAGCCCTGGGTCAGTCACCTCTTCCCTGGACATGGGCTCACAGGAGGCAGCGGTGGCCCCTGAAGGGCGGCAGATTGCAGGAGGAAGGGGGTCTCAGGGGAAGGGGGAACGGTGGAGGGCACCATGCCCCCAGGGGCAGAGTGTGACGCCAGGGACAGCCAGGCCTGCCGGAAGGATGCTGGTCAGCTTAGGGACCCATGACCTGAGTGCTGGGGACCCCGGGACAGGGAGGGCCTGCGTGTGAGGGACGTAAGGTGCTCTGCAGTCCAGGTCAGTGTGTTGTTTCTAAGCTTCCTCAGCACTGAAGGGGGAAATCACCTTAGGGTTTGGCTTCTTCCCACAGAAGTAAGAATTGGGAACCTGAGAGATCCGCAGCGGGGAGACACAGAGCTGGGAGTCTAGGGTGTGCTCGCTGGGCCTGGCCTCTCTGACCCCCGGAGGCACACCCAGCTGGCCCAGGGTCCCAGGCTTGGCCTTCTCTTGAATTCAGCCCGTGGAGACAGAGCCCAGCAGGAGACAGAGAGGGGCCTGACCTGACCTCCTCAGGCCAGGAGAGGTAGCTTTTCCCCAGGAAGCCAGCTCTGCTGGGCTTTCCTAGGAGCTCTGTCCCAGATTCTGTGAGATGGGGTGGGGTTTGGTCACACCCACTGTCCCCACTCCTGCCCAGACCACCCTGAAGGGACTTCTCCTTAGATCCTCTTGCAGTATTCCTAACTTGAGTGTCATGTATGTCTCTAGAAGCTGCCTAAAATACAATTTTAAAACTTCAAAACAACGCTTCTTAATAGATACTGACAACTATGAAAAAAGAATTCAGTATAACTGTTTTTCCTTTCGGTAGTACTCAGGGTTGAACCTAGGACTTTTATCCTGAGCTGCATCCCCAGCCCTTTATTTTTATTTTGAGACAAGATCTTTATCACTCAGACTGGTCTCAAGCTAGCAATCCTCCTGCCTCAGCCTCCCAAGGGTTCTAGGCATGCATCACCACGCCCAGCTGGCTATAACGATTCTTGATCTCCTTCCTTGGTCTTTATCTATTCAGCATTCAGTGCCCAGCCTGGCACACCTGCATGCCATACAGTGACCCAGATACCCTGAGGGCCAACGAGGTTACAAGTCCAGGATGCAGGATAAGCACAGGTTCGCATGAAGCTTTGACCCCAACTGCAGGAAAGGTGGCCGAGAATGTAAACTCTGAACCCCAGGTCAGACGACCCTGAGTGTCCACCTCAGCCCCGCCCCTGTGTGACTTGGGGCTGGTCTCTCCAAATGTCCAAAGCCGTTTCCCACCTGTGAAAGATTACACATGGTAAATACGAGGACAGTGTACGTCACTGGGGCTGACATGTGGAAAGGATTGGCAAGCAGGGGCCCGTGCTGTGCAATGATCTTTATCTGTAAAATGGTTAATTCTGTGGTGATGCAGGTCTGTAATCCCAGTATGCTGGGAGGCTGAGGCAGGAGGATTACAAATTGGAACCCAGCCTGGGAAATTTAGCCAACAAGTGATATTCTGCCTAAAAAATAAAAAATGTAGCTTAGTGCAGAGGCCCTGACTTCAATCCTTAGTACTGGCCAAAAAAAAAAAAAGTTCAATTTCGAATTTAAATAGTATCTTTTTTTTTTTTTTTTTTTTTTGGCAGTCCTGAGGATTGAAGCCAGGGTTCAAAAGTGAAGCTGGCCATAGTGGCACACACCTGTAATCCCAGCACTCTGGAGGCTGAGGCAGGAGGATCATTGCAAGTTCAAGACCAACCTGGGCTACACAGTGAGCTCAAGGCCAGCCTGGAATGCATAGCGAGACCCTGTCTCAAAAAGGAAAAAAAAAAAAAAAAAAGAAAAGAAAAGAAATGGACTCAACCATTATGATACCCATAGCAGTGAATTGGAAGGAAGCCCAGAGCACTTTTGCTATCATCGAGCCTACGAACAGCCAGGCAGTGTGGACCGCTTTGTCCTGGGGGGCAGGCAGAAGGCCACTTGAAAAGGAAGACATCTGAGCTGCACTTGACAGGAGGCTGGACAGCTGGGAAACGAAGCCCCACTTGAAAGAAAGAGCCCAGCAGAGCCCCACAAGCACCCCTGCAAAGACAGAGGGGAGCGGGCTGGGGGGGGCAGGAGGAGCCCTGCAGGCCTGGCCCAAAGGGAGTGAGACCTAAGCCTCAGGGTGGGAGGCTGGAGGGGCAGCACCGGAGCCCCTGGACCTTAGCATTTCGGACAGCACAGCCCAGGAGAAAACCTTGGGTGCTGGCCCTCTTAGGTGATCTGGGGGGTTCCAGAGGCCATGGGCTTCTGGTCTTCTCTCAGAGAACCTGACTCTGCGACTAGGTAGGCCTTCTTTCTTCCTTAGCTAGAGGCCTCCCAGGTGACAGATACTAAAGATCTCCTTGGGTTTCAGTATTCATTTGATGAGCCACAGGACAGGTGGATACAATCTGAAATGACATCTTTGGTTTTTTGTTTTGTTTTTTTGGCAGCACTGGGAATTGAACCCAGAGCCTCATACATGCTAGGAAAGCACTCTACCACTGATTTACACACTCAGTGATTGGTTGATCAATTGATTGATTGATTGATTGATTGAGACAGGGGCTTGCTAATTTGCCCAGTCTGGTCTTGACCTTGTGATTCTCCTGCCTCACCCTCCTGAGTATGCAATGATTTCTTACAAAGAAATTCCATCTATATTTTCAGGTCCTACCAAACATTTTTCTGTGGTCACTGTCAATCGTATTTTGGAAGATGTGTTAACAAACTATCTACAGGAAGAAAAATATGAACCAGAGTTCTGCAGGCAGATGACTAAAACAATTTCTGAGGTGTGTATCAGGCTGACCCAAGGCTGTCTATGCTGCAGTATAAGCCAAGAGCACAGTTTACTTGCTACTTTTTGACAAGGGATTTATTTTCAGTAGTAGCTAAAAGACATGTTTATATTTTATTAAAATATTTATTAGCTCATGCTGCATGTGTATGTATAAAAAGCCTTTATCTAAAACAATCCTGTGTATTTTGCAACAAAGATACACAAACCTACCCACTTTTACGAAGTTTTATGGATTGTTTTTTCTCCATGGCAACTGTTGAGCACTGTTAAATACAAACATCAGTCTCTAAATACATTTCTAGTTTTATCAACTACAGGGCTTCCACTTTCTCATTGCTTTTCTAACAAACTCTTTAATTAACATTCACACTTAGTCATATTATAGGCGATTCAGATTATGTTCCTGTCATTAGACATAAACAAGACAGTACAACCCTTCTGCCAGGAAGAGAAACGAGCTTAACCGAGCTTTCAGACAACGTAGTAACCTGTTAAGTTCTCTGCTCTAGATGACAGTTTTTCCATGTGTCTAGAAAATGCAGACTTACTGCTGCTGTTCCCATTCTTTCCCGGAATGTCCCATCTCATGAGGACAGTACTTACAGGAAATCATAGGCACAGTTCCGAGACAGTTACTGAAAATAACAACGCTCTGTGCTAGTTCCTTAAATGAAACCCACTCTGTTGATGACAAAAGCTGAGATTTTCATGTGGCAATGTTTCCATGTCTGTTTTAATTTCTAGGTTATTAAAGCCCAGGTCAAGGAGTTAATGATTCCACGATATAAACTAATAGTGGTCACTCACGTAGGACGCCTGAAGGATCAGAGCTTGTTTATCGGAAGCAGATGCCTCTGGGATCCGAAAAGTGATACTGTTTCATCCTACGTCTTCAGAAATTCTTCTCTCTTTGCTCTGACCAGTGTCTATGCGATTTACTTTGAGTGACTGCAAATGAGAAATTCGGCTCTTGCTTCGTGTTCACAAAAACTTGATAGCCAAAAACTCTGAAAAAGAAACAAGACAACAGTTCAAATGGATGACAGCTTCCAGAATTTTTAATAATCTGAGAATTGGGACAATAGGGTGAGTAACCCAAGACAGAATCTCCTTGGTCTGGAGCAGGAACTAGATTGCTTTTCAAAAACGCAGACTCTTATTAAATATTACTTTGGGTGTTGATTATTTTAATTGCTCTTTAATGAGAGAGAATTTCCAGCATTACGTTTTGATAAAGAGAACTTTTAGAAAAGTATATGGGGGGCTGGAGATTTAGCTCAGCGGCATAAGCGCCTGCCTTGCAAGCAGGCGTGAGTTCAATCCCTGGTACCGATAAAAACGAAAAAGGCAAAAAAAAAAGTATATGGCTACATTTCCTGACCCCAGTCTGTGAGAGTAAACATTCAACCGGAATACACAAATGATCCATGTTAATGTGGCTCAGTGCTACATGGAAAAGAATTCTGGTTTTCATCTGGCGCTTAATAAATTGAGCAGCATTCATTAACTGCAATTACGGTTATGTGTACCTGACAGTTGGAACTGCAGAGGTAGAATTAATGACTTCATAACAATTAGCCTGGTCCGGTGGGACTGAGAGCTAAAACTAGGCACTCTGGCAGGGAAGCGACCCTTTACCAAACTGCAGAGGGCAGCACGCTGGCTCTTTAATAACGGAAGCTAGGAAGTCACAGCGGCTTTTTAGGACAACCCAGTGGACGGCGCTCTATTAAATATGCATGATGCTTAATGGTAAAAGTATCAGTAACATAAAACACTCAGTTCGCAAGAGGCACTGCCTTAGCATGGACACTGCCTGTGAGTAGATTTTCCTAGCTTAATGAAGTTGTACACAAAATACGTTGCGGGTGGCTTAGCAAATAAAATGTATGTGTTTACTATTTTGTCTCTGTGTGTTTAATGCTAAAGTGACCTGGGGTGGTTTTGAATTAGAATTTACAGGGCTGGCACAGTTTATTATTCTGCTGTGAATGCGTCGAGCGCCATGGGTCATTTATCTTTACTGTGCTTTCAACTTTCGTGTGAGTGGGGAAACGATGCCGGAGTGGGGCCCTTCCTCCAAAGGCTGACGCCAGGGACACATGTCAAAGGGCAAAGCAAATTGTTCACATACGGAGAAAATTAGCAGGGCTGTGGTCTTAGGGAAAAGAGGAGCCATGACTCTTGTTGGGAAGAATTTAATCAGTGGAAGAACCAGTCAATGGTTTATAATTTAAAATGTTTTGGTATTATACTTTGTCCTACAAGAATGCATACTTTATCCCTTTCCTTTGCTTTTTGTTTTGTTTTGTTTTGTTTTGCCTATAAGGTCCCCTTTCAAAGTGATTTTTTTCAGTTTTGTTCCTTCTTTCTGTGTGTGCCTCAGTGGGAACATATCTGCACAGTAAGGAATCACAGCCAGTCACTGTCCGGCTCCACTGGACAGCTCTGGACCTGGGCAAGACTGCAAGTGTAGTGGGTGAGTGAGCTTCATATTCATTACCCATGTGGATGCGTCCCATCCGGAAAGTATCGCAGGGCCAATTGCATAGTGATTTCGCTAGAATAAATTAGAATGAAGAGCCTCGAGATAACAACTGGCTACAGAAGCTCCTTGAGATAGTCAACTTAGAATTCAACATAATTCAGAGTGAAGAGCCCCAAACAGAGGGAGATGAATTCTCTCGTCCCAAGAAGAAATTAAGGCAACTTGTCAACCATCCGAGGTTCCACCGTGACTGGGTGAGGTCCTGATGCGACTTGCCGGGGTCCTGCTGCCACTTGCCAAGCCGTCTGAGGTCCCACTGCTTTGACTCACTGTTGGCACAGTTACATTGAGTTTGAGGGTTGGCAAGCAGAATGGAGGGCTGAACTGGCAGGGTGCATACATCGACCTGTGGTAAGTGACGGGAGTGGAGCCATTCCATAAATAGGGGGGCTCCAGTGGATGACATTCTGGGATTGGGCAGGACTGGCAAGTACAAGGGGCAGCAGTGACTTCAGTCAATTGTTCCCTTCCCAAACGAGATTGGTGGAGTGAGCTAGACCTGGGTTATGTGACCCGGCTGAGCCCCAATAGGTTACCCAAGGTCAAGTCCCTGCAGTAGTGGCACACATTAACCACACTGGCCCCGTGGGGCCTCGGAGGTTTGGCTGGTCTGGAGGGGAGGCAGCGCAAAGTAATACAGTGCAGGCCACAGCAGCTTGACTGATCCAGAGGGGAGGGACCAGCATGCACTGTCCCTGTCTGCAACTCACTATCACACTGCAATGTGAAGGGTCACCTAGCCAGCGTGCTTCAGAAGAATTGTAACCAACAAAGAAAGAAACTGGGGCCTTCTGGAAGAAGCAAAAAAGATGGGAAGAGGAAGCAACAACAGAGAGTCCCCAAGTGCCCCAAGTCCTGAGAACATTTACCCAGGACAGGTAAATACAAAGGAGAATGAGAACAGCAAACATGCAATATCAGACACAGCGCCTGTGGACATAAAGAGATATATTCGGGACCTCATAGATGAGTTCAAAAGTGAAGCATTTAGCCAAGTAAAGCAAGATATAAGAAGATTAATAAAAGAGATGCTAAGTACCCCTCAAGCAGACACAGATGGAAGAAGAGAGGAACTCAAACAAAGGAGAGAATCATTTGATGAAGAATATAAAAAATATAGAATACATAAAACAGATTCAAAGAGATCACCCAGAAATTAAAAACTCTATGGAAAGATGGCAAATCAGCTTGAAAGAAACTAAGGATAGATTATCCAAACTGGAGGACAATTTTTCAATGTGGGAATATGAAAGGGAAAACTTTTTAAAAATAATAAACTTTTTAAAAATACAAAGCAGTAACAATACAAAGGCTAGAAGATGACAAAAGGATCTATAACTTGAGAATAAAGAATGTGAATGAAGAAGCAGGGTACAAACAAAGGAACTACAAAGATTATTCACAGAAATAATTAACAAAAACTTCCCAAACATAGGAAAAGGAAATGATATTCTGATGCACGAAGGCATACAGAACTCCAGCCACCTACAATCAAAACAGAGCTACACCCAGGCATATAATAATCAAGATCCCAGAAATTCAACCTAAGAACAGAATATTAAAAGCTGTTAGAGACAAGAAACAGATAACCTACAGGGGGAGGCCCATCAGAATAATGGCAGACTTCTCGACACAAACCATCAACTCAAGAAGAGCCTGGAGCGAAATATTCTAAGCCCTGAAAGAAAATAACTTCCATCCCAGATTGATATACCCTGCTAAACTGTCTCTAGAAATTAATGGAGAAACAAGATGCTTCCAAGACAAAGAGGAACTTGGGAAATTTGCAATCACCAATTCAACTCTACAGAGAATAGTGCAGGGCATTCTAAAAAGAGAGAAAACTACTAGGATTCCAGGAACAGTGGCAGAGAGGCCTCGATGAATGGAGCAGAAAACAGAATGAAGAAGATAAGCAGACAACTGACGGCAAAAAAAAAAGAGCATAACAGAAATGAGGCAGAGAAGATTTTATCTAAAACTGATATGATTGATAGTATCAAGTCTGAGAGGATAGGCAACCACACTGAAGATGACAAGACTCTACGATATACATTCTGGTTAGATAACTGCCGATTTTTGAAGCTCTATACTATATACAAAGTTGTGTTTTTATTAATACTGTTATGTACTGATATATTCAATTATACTATGTCTGATGATATAGCCAATTCTATTGGAGATAACAAGAGTCAACACAGGAACCATGGTAGAACAATTTGTACAATGTTCTTATGTATTTTTTTCGTTTCATGTGTTTATAGAAATTTGCTTTGTTTTGTTTCTACCTCTAACATAGAAAGGATAGAAATACATGTTAAGACTCATGCATGTGTAGAATCTATAAACAGTTTATGAGAACTGATCTTATGACACATGATGAAATGAACAGATACTCTAAAGAAAAAGAGACACTAAAATACTCAGTACTGATCCTGGAGTGTCATAATGTAAAACCCAGCAATAGTATTATTCTTTGTTCAGAATGATATTAGCCTGCTTGGGTTTATTCAACCTCAACATAATTGAAGATATGGATAATTGCATGTATGTTTAAGTGTGTAGGATTGATAACCATATTTCTAAGTTTTTGTTGGATAGCTGAACAGAACTGGTTGCAATCTCACTGTTTGAATCCCTACTTTGTAAGCTCCACTTTAGTATATAAAGTTAGTAGAACAAAATATAAATATAAAGAATATAAAGTTAGTAGAATAACTATTTGTGAGAAGACAATCTGTAATGAACTAGTGACTTCTTACTGTTTATTTTTTTTCTTTGAAATTATGTATTATTTCTAACTGTTTTCTGTTTTGTTTAGTCTTTCTTTAAATTAAATTTTGAGAAAAAAAAAAGACACTACAGTACCCAGTGCTGATCACGGAGTGTCATGATGTGAAATCCAGCAATACTATTATTCTTTGTTCAGAATGATTTTAACCTGCTTTAGTTTGTTTAATCTAAACATAAATGAAGATATGGATAACTGCATGTATGTTTAAATGTATAGGATTGACAACCATGTTACTAAGTTTTTGTTGGACAGTTGAACAGAACTGTTTTCAGTCTCACTGTTTGAATTCCCACTTTACAAGTTCCATTTTTGTATCTTGAACAACTATTTGTAAAACAACAATATGTAAACAGGAACTAGTGATTTCTTACTGTTTATTTTTTTCTCTTAATGTATGTATTATTTCTACCTATTTTCTGTTTTGTTTAATCTTTCTTTAAATAAAAGTAAAAAATAATAATAAATCCACCATGTTAACACAAGTAATGTATTTTATGAAAACCATAATTTTACAAACCAACAATGTTGAGCAGGACGAGAAGATGGTCATTCATTTTCTGCAAGTCCCTAACGGTTGGCTGAATAAAATCTGGTTCAGTTCCCAAAATGACTTTCATCTTCCTCCGTCTGTCACGGTGTGCTGTGTTGGTTTACACAGTAAGAAATCCCACCGCACATAAATACGAAGTTGGGAGAGATTATTTCAATAACCTTTTCAGATAATTTTGGCCTTTTTAAAAATAATATTCTACCTCAACGCGACATGTGATTTCCTATTAAAAGTCGCATGTAGAATCTGAAACCATAGCAAAGATGTTTTTGTGCTGTTAGATTGCATTGTTTGCACTTTGAGTGGATCTCTTACACATTCACGGTTTTTAAATCATTTCAAGGTAACTGCTTCACTGAGATTTGCAGAGCTCTCAAATGATGATGCACTTTATCACACGATATGAGAGCCAGCCTTATCCAGGATCAAGAAAATCACCAACAACAAATGCTGGAGAGGCTGTGGGGAAACAGGAACTCTTCTGCACTGTTGGTGGGAGTGCAGACTGGTGCACCCACTGTGGAGGTCAGTCTGGAGAGTCCTCAAAAATCTGGTATTGGAAGTTCCATTTGACCCAACTATTCCACTTCTGGGCATATTCCCAGAAGTACTGAAAACATCATGTCACAGTGATATATGCACACCCATGTTTATAGTAGCACAATTTGTAATAGCCAGATCTTGGAAACAACCTAAATGTCCATCAACTACAGGATGGATAAAAAAGATGTGGTATTTTTATACAATGGAGTACTAGTCAGCTATAAAGAATGATCATATTGAGATATTTATAAATAAATGGATGTAACTTGAGACCATACTCATAAGTGAAATAAATCAAACTCACATGTATAAATACCATGTACTCTCCCTAGTGTAAGAAATGGTAAGAGTACATAAGATTTTATGGTAATCATGGTTACCCATTACATTGCTTTGAAGTCTTATAATGTTTTCATTCATTAGTTGGAATGGTTTTATTCTGTTTTGTTTGATTTTATTATATATGATGGTATAAACAGCTATTTTGAAGAAAACAAGACATTATGACAGCCATTGATGATTTAATATCATCTTGCTTTGAAGTCCTACCATGCTTTTGTTCTTCTATTTCTCTTGGTTCTATCATGTTGTGTCTTATTGGATTTTAATATGTGTGATGGTATAAACAATTTTTTATGGAAAATGAGATATTATAGTAGCCATTGTTCATTTTCTGTTATTTGGTTTTGAATGTCTTGTAATACTTTCAGTCTCTTGGTTTTATACTATTTTGTTATGTTTGATATTATTGTGTGTGAAGGTATGCTCAACTACTTCAAAGAAGAGAGACATCATGGTAGCTACTGTTAATATCCAGTTGTCTTGTTGTGAAGTGCTGTGTTACTTACATTGTTCTGTTCTGATTTGCTTTGTTCAGTCCTCTTGTGTTTTATTCTCTTTAAAATAAAAAAATTATAAAGATGGGCTTTCAATCATTCTTTAAAAATAAATGCTTATTGGAAAAAAGCAGTTGATTTTAAGCTCAACCACTTGACCAACTCTGGGTTCCTACAGAGACAGAAACCATCCTCCAGAGCCCGCCAGAGCACCCCTGCAGTCTTCTGGTCATATCACCTCAACCTTGAAAGGACACGTGATCAAGGGCTGAGATTTGTGTAATCAAGAGCATTCACCATGAAACTATATTCTTTGTTTTGTTTTTAAGTGCCTGACAATAAAAAAGATTTTGGCCACCGCTACCGCGGGTTGTAAGGTCTTCACTCACATGGGCCAGTGCACCTTTGGTTCTGACTGTTATGTTTGATACACTGTGTCACCCTGAGCAGTTTAGAAACTTAACTAAGATATGCAGCAGGGAGCCAGGGTCCTTACTTTGTAAATAGTCTTTGAAGTGTTGCCCCTGTGCCATGCTTGGAGCCTGCTGATGATGGGCTGAAACCTCCACAAACAGTGAGCTAAAGAAATCTTTCCTTCCTTCAGTCCCAGCAGTGAGAGATAAGGAACCAAGACACGGAAACACCACGCACTTCACTGGGTGACTCAGAATGCGTTTACCTGATTCTGCACAGCCTCAGTTTCCCCATTTGTGTGCTGATGATAAAGTACTGCCCCACTCATAGATTATGTGGAGGAAAGGTTACATACCACGCACAACGCATCGACACAGCGTCTGCCCGCTGTGTGTCAGACGCTGTTGGATTCACACTAGAGAATCCACGAGTGGAGTCCAACCACTGCGACACTGGAGCAGCTGGCTGTCACTTATATTCTTACTTTTGTGATAGTGTCACTTTTTTATCACTTGGAAAGACATCCAATCACATAGCAATCTCCTAGCTATGGGGCAGGCGCTGGCTTCTCAGGAAGATAAACAGAATTTCCTTTTATCCCTGCAGCAGAGAGGACCAGAAGGGGCTCAGGACCCAGGCCCACACTGAGTTCCCCCCGTGCATGGAAGTGATGGAGATCTATGTGACCCCAATTGTGCTCAAGGTCGAGCTGCGTGTTAGGAAACCTGTCCGAAGCCCTTCTGAGGTTCTTATACCTCTACACGCATCAATGTTTTTATTCTCAGTAGCGCACAGCAACTCGAAAGCAAAGAGCTACACTGGTCGCTTTTGGCTGATGAGATTACAGCTGATTTGGCTTTCTTCGTAACACATGTGTTTTACGTTTTCCTAGGATCAGCATTGTCTGTTTACAGCTGAGAAGTTATTTTACATTTTTTTAAAGGAAAGCACCATGTGCTTGATTTAATTGTATCTTTATTGCAATCTCACAACAAGAGCTAAAATTTGGAAAGAAGAGAGCATTCACCTTGGCAAAGGGAGAAGACAGGCTTTGTTGTGGTCTCAGCCACATTTTAGGGAAGGGCCGCCTATTTCCAAGCCATCACTTGCGTGCAGGGCTTGGGTAAAGGGTGGGTAAGCCAGGGCTGGAGCTGTGTCCACGCACTCTATGTCTGCCTAGCAAAGAGCGCTCAGCTCGGTCATGGAGCAGCCGGTGGTGCAGCACAGAGTTCGCAGATCTCTTCTCAACATCACTGAACGCTTCTCTGCCCGCCGGAGCGCCTGCACAGGCATCCGTCCCTCCCGAACAAGCTCCTCTCCTGAGAAATCCACCTCGGCAAGGCTGCGGGCTGGGTTTTCCTCCGAAGCCTCATGTCTGTCTGGAGGCAGGAAGGAGTTTCTTTTCTCAGCTGCAAGAAAGAGAAAAACAAAATAACTGCACCACTTCGAGGCAGGGATGGCAGCAGCCACCTTCTGCTCTCAGAGATGTGAATTGGATTTCTGAGGCTGCAGCAGGAGAATGATGAGTCCTGCCCCAGCGGGGCAACTTAGCAAGACCCTGTCTCCAAAATACAGCAGTGGGGGTGGAGATGTAGCTCCAGTGAAGGCCCTGGGTTAAAGAGAAACAGAAACTTGGGAAAGGCTTACTTTATAGTGCGCTAGGACTTCAGAGCCATTACTAGTACAACACACACGGATCCATTCTACTGCTCCTTAGGGTTCAGGCTTATTCTGCATGGGTTTTTCTCCCTCGTGCATCTTGATACTATTTTTCCAGAGATTGATCTACATCTGGGTAAGTTACGCTCACTCTCTTATGGTGGAAATCATTACTGTCTCTGTTAACATCTAATCCTAGGTTCCTCAAGCAGGTTCACCTGTCAACACATTAGACTGAAAAAACGAGCTCGCGGGCCCCTGTTCAAGTTATTCTGTTCCCAAGTCCATTCCAAGCTGCACTGCAGCCCTAACAGCCCTGGCCATCTATATAGTTGTAAGGATCTATAGTCTTTACAGACACATCTCCTGTGTTATATAATCAGATTTTTCAAATTCCTGATTATAAATTTAGCAAATGCAAACATTTGTTAAACTGGAATCTTCATAAAGGCAGCTACAGAAAGACAAGTCTGCTTGCCGTGTTCACACGTGAAACCTCAGAAGCTGGCTTCACAGGACAGAGGAGCCCTGTTGCCACTTGCAGCTGGGGCGGGCTCGGAGGTGGGCAGTGTTGGCCAAAGAACATAGTTTCCTGCTGATAAGATGAATAGGGGTGTTAAGAGTTGTCACAAAGCTAAGGGTATCGGGGTGGTACACACTCAATGTAACCATCCCATGATGTACAGGGCATTTAACACACAACTGCATATGATAATATACACAATTTGACCTATGAAAAAAATAATAATACATAGACTCTTACACTCAGTATTGGATTACAAGAAAGAATTCCAGTCAAATGTCTGAGTTACTTGAATTCAAAAGCTAGAGCCTCGCATTGAAGACAGCCCCACATGACTGCTGAAACACACTGGGCTCTTTCCTGTCACGGAAACTGCGGTCAGACAAACCCCCCCGCAGAAGGCCTACTGGCTGCCCCCACCCGCTCACAACTCCCCAGATGGGACAGTGTCTTCGGGGTCTCAGCCCCATACCACCACCCCTGAATGCAAGCAGCCCTCCTTTCACCCGAGTCTCAGCTCAGACTAAGCGGAGTGTTTGGAGTGGGACCAGACAGCCCTGGTTAGCGTCCAGCCACACTGCTGATCCGCGGGGTGGTCAGTTTCTCCTCAGTATGGTGATAAGCAGTGATAGCATCACTGATTTCAACAAATCCTTATCAGAAATCTGCTCATGAAACCTCCTGGATCTTAGTAAATGATCAACAGAAGTTAGATTCCTTCTCCCGCCCTCACCTGATGCCTGCTTCTTGTCCACACCAAGAAGGTGCTCCCCTCCTCACCACCCCATCCTGCCTCTCCCTGCCACTCTCTACCACGGCGCCTGCTGCAGACCTGAGCTCCCGCACCTGGCCTTCCAAGTGATTCCCCACAGAAGGACTAGAGAACACTATGCTCACCTCGCTCCAAAGCCAATTTCTGCTTATTTTGATAATGTACCTCCCTAAATTCATAGAGCAGTGGCTCCTCTTCAAGAAATAGATATTAAATAACCATTTTAAAGTAGTTTATAAAAAAGAAAAAAGGGCTGGGGATTTAGCTCAGCAGCACAAGAGTCTGCTTGGCAAGCACAAGGCCAGGAGTTCAATCCCTGGTAACAAAAAAATTGCCAGATGTGGTGGTACATACCTGTAATCCCAACACTGGGGAGGTTGAGGCAGGAGGATCACAGCCAGACTGGGCTACATAAATAAGTTCAAGGCCAGCCTGAATTGCAAAGTGAGACCCTGCCGTTCCTCAAGAAAGGAAAGGGACTCCTAAAAGGGGGGATGAGGGCACTGACAAGCAGAGTTACCTTGCAGAGCTGGCGGAATCCCCTCGGCCTGCCTCCTCCAGCGGGAGGTGGCACAGATGTAGACCACTGTCCTCACGTACTCTAGCCCGCACAGCTTCACCGTGTCCTTGCTCCTCGCCTCGGGGATGGCGAACAGGACACAGAGCATGACCAGAGCCAGCTTGGAGCCCTTCATTCTGTCCAGGCCCAGCGGGAATCCCCGATGTGGTGCACGGCCCAATGTGTCCTGAGGCCACCCTCACCCTCCTGACCCATTTATACCGACTTTCTGATGGTTTATTGGCCACACGGCATCGTAACGGTGTTTACTGAGCACGTAGGCTGCGCAGGGAGGCTCTGATAATGAGCTTTTATGGCCATGGCCAGTGATGCTGACCCCGTTTCTGCTGTCAGCTGGACCCGCATGTCTCAGGACCTGAATAACCGCATCTCAGACTGAGAAACCTCACCTAAGGTTCTCCCAGTACCAAGCACAGCATCTGTGCCACGGCTTTGGGAAATCACACTCAATAATGCAGGTTGTCATGTCCTGGGTTGTCATGCCATGACTCCTGGTGTGGCAGACCTAGGATTCTAAGCAAGCTATTCAAGTGTGTGCATTAGTCAGGGGCTAATTGGAGAAAACAGGCAGAACATGAGATGTGTGAGAAATGACATGATGGGCTTATGATGGTCAGCCCCAGAGAGGACGAAGGAGTGGGCAGAGGGCATGTGCAGGCCAGAGGCAAAAGGACCCTGTCCAAGCCTGGAGCTCAATGCAGTGTCCCGTGCAAGTCCCCACCAGCAGGCTGATGGCTCTGCGACAGAAGGCCGAAAGGTCTACTGAAGGGTCGAGGAGTCTACCCCGGAAAGCTGAAGGTCTACACTGGAAGTCAGGAGACGACGTCCAAGCCGAAGGCAAAGACTGGAGCTGCTCCGAAGAACAGACCTCATTCGCCCTCCCTCCTTCCCTTTCATACCATCCACGGCATGAGCCACCCTAGGGAGCAGAGCTTCTGAATGTCTGAGTTGATGAGATTAATCAGCTCCCACAGTGTGCATCCCTATAAAATTTGCTGATGATGGGAGCTTCCTCTATGGGCTAATGGGCTTGACACGATATTGGCTTTCTCTCTCTCAGAACAGACAGGGAAAGATAGAGAAAGCTTCTCTTCATGACTCAGGGGAATTTCTCTAACTAAAATCACCCTTTCTATCCTGAAACTATGACAAAGATTCCCTTTCAGGGCATGCGTTCCTAGTAGGAAGCCAAACCCATAATCCCAAATAATGATTTTTTTTTTTTTTTGCTTAAATATCTCTGTGAACCCATTTTTGCAAAACTCTTACCTAAACTAAGCAAGTTGCATTTAGAATCTTAAAGTACGGTTGATCTGCTTTTTAGCAAGCTGAATAACAATTCTACAAAGTTTGTGGAATGGGTATTGAAAGTACAGTCATATGAACAATATTTTGCATCCTTTTCTGGGTTCCACTTTCTTACCACCCATTTTAGCAGTTTCTTAAATGCTCAATTACTAAGAATCAAAATGAACAATTAACATGCAACTCAACAACAAAATAAAAGCAAAATCAATATAAATACAACAATAAGAGAGTAGGCCAGCACTGTTCAAACAGGACATACGAAGGCCAAATGAAAAGGTGGTGGCCATCACTAATCACTAAGAGATTGCAAATCAAATACGAGATGAAACATCACCTCTCCCAGAAGCAGGTGTTGGCGTGGTGGTGGAGTAAAAGGAGCTCTTTTTTTTTTTTTTTTTTTTTTTGGTCTTTTTCATTTTTATCCTTACCAGGGATCGAACTCACGACCGCCTGCTTACAAGGCAGGTGCTTATGCCGCTGAGCTAAATCCCCAGCCCCAAGGAGCTCTTGGTGGGAAAATAAACTGGTACAGCCATTATAGAAAGTAGCACCCACATTCCTCCCAAAATTAACAATAAAATTATCTCATAATTCAGGAGTTCCACGCTTGCCTATATATTGAAAAGAGATGAAATCAGACATTAAAGACATTTCTGCATACCTATGTTTCAGCAATGTGACTCACAGTAACTAAATATGGACTCGACCTCCGTGACCACTGGCGAATGGATGGAGAAAGAGTATGTGGTGTGTGTGCGTGTCTGCATGCACAGATGTGTGTGTGTGTCTGTATGCACAGTGTGCGTGTCTGTATGCACGGATGTGTGTGTGTGTCTGTATGCACAGATGTGTGTGTGTGTCTGTATGCACAGGTGTGTGTGCGTGTCTGTATGCACAGGTGTATGTGTGCATGTCTGTATGCATGGATGTGTGTGTGCATGTCTGTATGCACGGATGTGTGTGTGTTTGTCTGTATGCACAGATGTGTGTTTGTATGCATGGGTGTATGTGTGAGTGTCTGCACAGGTGTGTGTGCATGTCTGTATGCACAGATGTGTGTGTGTGTGATGTTTTAAAATACAACACAGAAAACAAAAATCTACACTCCAGGCTTTACATGGGGGTAAAATATGGACAGGACAGCTACTTTCTTTTCATGTTTTCACTGTTGCCATTTTGTTGTCATCAAAGTATGCGTGGTAATTTGAAACCGCGGGGAGTGATGTTATTACCAGTGAGCTCCCCTAAGGCCCTCTGGCGTCCCCGGCCTAGGCTCTTCCTGCAGACAGTGCACAGCGTGCAGTAGGCGACTCACTCAGAGTCAACTATGATGTGAGCGATTGTTCACAAGTTGTCCCGAAAGCCACACCAACATCCTGTCAGTATTTTAAAAGCAATGCTCGTTTTTATAGGACTCAGAACAACGTTTTATCCAATCCTGCTTAGTGGCCAGGTCTCGTTTTCTACTTAACCCAGGAGCTGGTTTCGTATAAACGGTCAGCTTTTTATTTTATTGCCAAGTGAGATCATCAGCCCAAGCAGTGACAGCTAATAGCCTCGTAAATGTTCTATGGGCTTGGGGGAAGATTTGAACATGGCACGAAATCCTGAACAAACAAGACCCGGGACTAAATATGTGTAGCTTGCGTATCATAGCCAAGTGCCAATAGCAGGGAGGCCTCCGAAGACCTGGCTGGGGGCTGGGGGCCGGGCCGAGGACACTTAGAATCGGAGCTGCCATGCTGGAGCCCTCTTGTGCACTACTGGAGATGCACGGCTCCCCCAGTGGCCCACAGGGGCATGAGTCTCACAAAGAGCAGCAATATGCACCGAAGGAGAGTGGTCACAGGTCCACTTTTAGTTTCCTCTTCATGGAGGGGGGACTCTTCATTGCTATAGAACAAAGACAGCTCTGAGTATGTCGTTCAGTTTCTCAGGACGATTTTATGTCCTCTGTATTTTCCACAGCTTAAAATGGTTTATTCTTTCCATGTTAGAAACCTGGCATGGTGATGCCAACTTGGAAGTACAAGAGGCTCAGGGAAGAGGGTCCCGAGTTCAAGGCCAGGTTGGGGAACTAAATGAGATGCGAGATGGGGGTGGGGGAGAGAAAAAGAAGAGGAGGAGGACGAGGGAGGAAGAAAAGGAGGAAGGAAAAAGAGAAGGGAGGACAGAAGGGAGAGGAGGGAAGGAGAGGTAGCTCAGAGTTCCCTGGGTTCAATTCCCAGTGCCTCAATTTTTTAAAAAGATTTTTTTTTTTTATTTTATGGGGAAAATTTCATAACAAAATAATAGAAAAATAACCATAGTTCATACATTGCATGCTGTTATGTTTAAAGTAGTTATTCAGAGAGAAGATATGGGCATAAAAAGTTCTCTAATCGATATTAGCACAAATTTTCCTTTTTAAAGAACACTAACAGTATGACTGATTCTCACTTTTCCCTTTTCCACCCCTTCCATTCCCCTTTTCCCTAACCTAGTTCCTTTTTCCTCTTGAACAGTTTCTTCCCGTTTCACAACATCAATTTTAGAATGTGCTGTGGTGGTAGACGTGGGTCTAGTTTCAGTCTTCAGCATGTGAAAAGCCAATCTTTCCAGCACATTTTAGAATTTATTTACTCTTTCAGTTTCTTACACCAGGAAAACAATACAATATTTATACATGCGAATCTGATTTATCTCACTTATGAGTATGAAAGTTACATCCATTTACATAGAAAGTCTCGAGGTTATTGTTCTTTATGGCTGAATAATACTTCTATAAAAATATCACATCTTTTGATCCATTCCTCAGTTGATAGGCATTTGGGTTGTTTCCAAGATTTAGCTATTACAAATTGTGCTACTATAAACATAGGAGCATGTATATCCCTGTAGTATGATGTTTTAATTCTTATGGGAAGTTAACCAGAAGGTGAATAGCTGAGTTGAATGAGACCTTTAACCCTAGTTTGTTGAGAAATCTCCACACTGATTTCCACAGCAGTTGCACCAGTCTGCACTCCCACCAACTGTGAAGAAGGGTCCTTTTTCTCTGCAGCTCCTCCAGCATGTGTTGTTGCTTGATTCCTTCATGATAGCCATTCTTTCTGGAGATGGAATCTTAATGTTGTTTTAATTTGCATTTGTTAGAATACAAGCGATGTTTAGCATTTTTTCATATATTTATTTGCCACTTGCATTTCTTCCTCTGAGAAGTGTACATTCATCTCAGTTGCCCCTTTATTTACTGGGTCTTTGATTTAGGGGGTCTGATTGTTTTCAATTCTTTACATGTTCTAGACTAAAATTCTTTACCACTCTGATGATTTATTTTGATGTGAAAAAGCTTTTTGATAAGATGAGATCCCAGTTGTTGATTCCTTGAAGTACTTCCTGTGAAGTCTAGGTTTTCTTCATGAATTCTCTGCCTACACCTAGGTCTTTAAGATTTCTACCTACTATATTTTCCAGTACACTTAGTGTTTCTATTTTAATATTTAGGTCTTTGATCCATTTTGACTTTAGTTTAGTGTTTGGTGGTAGACATGGGTCTAGTTTCAGTCTTCAACATGTGAAAAACCAGTCTTTACAGCACCACTAATTAAACAGGCTATCTTCCTTCCAGTGAACATGTTTGGTCCCTTTGTCAAACATACAGTGGCTGAGTGTGTTTATAGTTGTGTCTACATCTTCTAATCTGTTCCGCTGATACTCAGGTCTGTTTGCCAGTACCATGCTGATTTTATTATAGCAGCTTTGTAATATCATTTCAAGTCAGGGATTGTGATGCCTCTTGCCTTGCCTTTGTTGCCTAGAATTGCTTTTGCTATTCTAGGTCTCTTCTGTTTCCAAATTAATTTTAGGAATGTTTTCTCTACTTCTGTG